TAGGACCTTTAATTGCGATATAGATTGAAATATATTGTGCAACCCTATAACCTTCCCATACCCAAAGGAAATCATGCCGTTTCAAATTTAATGGACTGTGCAATTTTGCATGCTATGTGAATATATTAGCTCTGGACCCCATTAGTGTGCATGTTGACAGAAAACAGTGATTGGAGCCAGTAGCAACTCCAGTGATGCTTTGGGACTGAAATGAAATAAGTTCATAGACAAGGCCAATTAGACAGAATACAGATATTACAGCGGGTCAAACGCACGCCTGACCCATTTATGTACACTCTATGGCCCCATTTTCCTTTGCTAATGACCAAGGATGCGGCTTCATATTTCATCATCGTGCATAAATTAATATCTCTTGTTGCTACGCTTGCTGGTGCCACTGTGTCTCCCCTCATTACCGCTCATACGTCCAATGCTCAATAAACTGGCTGCATGTGCTTCAAGTCTGACCCACTCTGTCTCCGAGAATAGCTAAAGCACGCGACGCTCTTGTTAGGAGATGAGTGGCGTGTCCCGGGCGACAGAGATGCTGACATTGGTGACTTGGTTCTCTTATTAGCAGTCTCATCAGGTGAAGGTGGCTCTTTTATTCTCAGCCTTTTAAGTCAAGGACAGGCGAGGCATTGCAATTAACCAGGGGCGCCAAGGATTCGTCAGATGCAAATTTATGCGGATTAGCCTGTTTTCAATGGCTGGTTGGAGAGCGAGCACGCCACGTCCGTTTAGAGGCTTTCAATTATTGCAGCTACTTCATCTTACAAGTTTTTTTTTATTTGGTATTGACAGTCAGTGTTCAGACCTTCTTGTTAAAGTCTGATCTGGTCTCATCTCAGAAGCTAAGCATGGTTGGGCCTGGTTAGTACATGGATGGGAGACCACAGGGGATTCATCGTGTGACAGTGGTGCGCCAGTGGTAATTGATACTTTGCTAACTGTGGACACTGATCTGTCTGAAGCTCTTTTGCTCAAATTAGACTCTTGAGCTTTATTTTAACACAATCTGACCATAATGAACTGATTTAGCTGGAACTATAACAGGTGAGCTGAGTCGTGCTGTTAAATAAAACCATTAGTCAACATGGCAAAGGAGAAATTCAATTTGTCAACTGGAGAAATGTTTATTTAAGTTGAAAACATTTTGCAGCCTATCCCAGCTGCTTCTTCAGTTCTGGTCATGCTCTTGTGAGCTTTAATCCATTTTATATTAAAAAAACAAACAAACCCAGAGTTATGTTTTGTTTCATTCACACATGTTTGAATAACCCTGCAGTGTTTAGTCTGTTTACATCTCCAAAGCTCAAAATGGTCTGGTCCACCTTGTGATGTCATGAAGCTGTAGTTTTCAAGTTAACAACTACTTTTACCTTTTGTTCAGTAGAGATTGTTAATTCCAGGTCTGAAATCATCCATATGAATTTATTTATAGAGGTCTATTAGTCAACATGACAAAGAAGAAATTCAATTTGTCAACTGGACAAACGTTTATTTGTAGCTCATCCAAGCTGCTTCTTCACTGATGGTGGACACTGCCTTATATCTGCCTGCAGGGAGGAGCTAACTACACTGAAACTACTCTGAAATGTAGTTAGCTCCTCTCTGCAGGCAGATTTAAGACAGTGTCCATCAGCTGGATGAGCTGCGAAACATTTACGACCTAAATAAATGAGTTTGTCCAGTTGACAATTTGAATTACTCCTTGGATTGCCATGGATTCTGCCTGGACGACTGAGCCATTCTACACACATCCATTGGCCAACAGTTTTTCAGTCACTGTCATTTTTTTGTTGAAAATCAAACACCTAAACAGGACCATGAACTCTTGTATTGATCACAGGCTCCTGAAAATGTGTCGCTTAAATCCATTTTGTATTTTTTCAGACTTAAAAACAGCTCAGCACAGTTTTGATACAGATACAAAGCCTGGTTTGAGTTTCTTTTGAACCTACGAATCAAAAGCAAATGTCTACTGAAGGTATAAACTCTGACAAAAAGGTGCAAAATTCATCATGTTGTTATTTTCGGTTAGAAGGCTGTACCAAGACTTAGCTGATTATTTTTTCAGACCAGAGTTTAGTTTGTCATACAAATTTGACATTTTTATACAGCACTTTTCCACTGTCAAGGCACGCAAAGAACTTTACATCAAGGAACCACTCACAGATGCAGACACTCTACGGGCCAGGTTAAGTGTTTTGCTCAAGGACACAAAAGCAGTATTCATCTGTGGGCCAGTGGATCTGACCGCGCAAACAGTGACGTTCATGTCGAGAGCGGGATTTGAATCAACAACCTTCAGTTCAGCGGACAAATGCTCTACCAAATACTGTCGCCCTAAACCTGACAGTGACGTTGCTGTGATGTGTCTGGTCATTGCATTCTCAGTTTAAAATGCTTCGCACCCTCATTTGAAGCGCCTAAAACAATGCCACTTAATGGAAGCATATTATATTTGCACCCCCTTGAAACCTTGAATGTACCCTCAGTGAGTTTGGCCTGAAGATAACTCCAAACCTGCGTAAATCAGCTGCGAATCGGAAACATCATAGCAACAAAAGTGAGCAGTCGAAACGATCAGGTATGAAAAAAAGAATCTGAAAACAAAACTGAAGACAAAATTAACCTTGTTGGACTAATTGATGTGGTACTAATATGTGCTTGCAGACAGGAGCAACAAGAAGTAATATGAGAACTATGCTGGATAATTAATTGTGTGGTGAAGTAGATAAGGATAGATTAGGAATTTAAAGCTAATTAGACAACAAGGCATACAAAAGAGCAAAAACATCAAAACTGAATCGAGAAAAAGGTTTTTTTTCAGGGCACCAGAAAGTCTGCAATTGAATTCCTACTTTGAATAGAAACAGGCACTTCAATTTTAATCCATTTTATATAAAAAACAGACCTGGAGTTGTGTTTTGTGTCATTCACACATGTTTGAATAAGCCTGCAGTATTAGTCTGTCTACATCTTCAAAGCTCAAAATGCTCTGGTCGACCTTGTGATGTCATGAAGCTGTAGTTTTCAAGTTAACAGCTGCTTTTAACCTTTTGTTGAGTCGTGTCAATACCAGGGCAGAAATCATTCAAATGATTCTGGGGAAGGTGTATAGAGCTTTTTTTTTTTTTTTTTTTTTTTTTTGAGGGAAGAACTCCGATATAAATATGCAGGGTTTGTGTGTTGAATGTGTGTGAATGAAGCAATACACAACTCCAGGTCTGTTTGTGACGAGGAAACACTATAACATCAGAAAATAGTAGGGGTGTAACGGTTCACAAAAATCAATGTTCAGTACGTACCTTGGTTTTGAGATCACGGTTCGGTTCATTTTCAGTACAGTATGGGAACAAAATGCAAAACTATTTGCTTCTTGTTTGTGTTTTTATTAAACCAGCAATTTGTTTTAACATTATACACATGGGAAAATAAAATAAATGCAAAGTGCTGCTTGGTAATACTAATAAGTTAAATAAAATATTCTCAAATAAGCAACAAATGTATGAAATATTATAAAAAATGAATTCCTTGTAAACTTTCAAAAAGTAAAGCACAGCACTAACAGTTCCAGCTTCAAGTTTTACTCAATCTTCATATTTTTGGCCAGAGAAAACAACTTGTCCACATTGTCTGCAGTAAGTGTAGACACACACAAATTGCGTCAACTCACTTGTTCACAGCCCTGCACCGAACTCAACGTCCCGTACCAATACGGTTCAGCATGAGTACATGTACCACTACTCCCCTGGAACATAGCATAATATGTGTCCTTTAAATTCTGTGTATAATAAGATAAATGGTGCAAATTAGTGATGGGCGAATGGAGCCTCGTGAAGCATTGACACCTCAGTCGCAATATTGTCTCAAATGGTTCGACGTGTCTGAGGCCTCGGAGAAACACTGACCTCTAGTGGACAAATTTAACCATTGTCACGCAGGTGTCTCAGCAATGATGAAGTATTGTTAGTGTGAGACAATACTTGTGTGCAGAGCAAACACCATACTCAACAACAACAACAATAATAATGATGATTTAAAATAATATGTAAAGAGCAACATAAATAGCAGCTGTAAATAAGAAAATAGGTGTTACCTTGTTAGATGGAATTAGATCAAAGTGAACACAAACCATGGATCGCTTTTTTCCACTTGTAAAAGCCATCAAAAATGAAACAAATGCCAAAAGTCGCCAAAATCACCACTAACGTCACACAATACTCCTCACTACCCAACATTTTTAAGAAATATTGGTGCACTCTGAAGCACTCTGAACCAATCGCAGAGCGGAACATTCGCTGAGCCAATGAAACGCTTCGATACACTGAAGCGATTGACACGCAGAGTGAAGCAGTAGGGGGAGGGACCAACACTTCGACACTTTGGTCACGTGAGCGGCTGCTGTGAGACGAGCTCCGAGGCAGTGCTTCGGAGCAATTTGTTTCAGAAAGAACGAGACGTGCTCCAGAGCTCCGTCTCATTTGCCCATCACTAGTGGAATACATCTTAAATAAAGGATTTCAATCTACACTTCAAACAGTATTTGTGAGCTACAGAATCTGTGTTATGACAATGAGATGGAACATTATTTATCAGGATACAAGTAAAAATGTGCAAATTGGGTTTTCTTCATTGTAAACTTCATTTAGAACATTAAATTCATCAAACAAGTTTCACCATACACTGCGTAGGACCCCTGCCTCTTCCATGTAAGCCTTTTCACAGTTACCCTTGGGGGCCACGTAACACCAGCGCACCTCTTGTTACATTTTCCACTCATTATTCGAATCCATAAATCACAACCTAAATGTCAAGCGTGTGCAAATCTGTCCAAATATTAGCATTTACAAAAAGGTAGCATGAAAAATCGCATCTCTAAGTGCTGTATTGTTTTCCCTCTCAATAACAAGTACATCCCCACTGACATTTCATCGCACATCTACTTAATTTAGACCTGATTAACGATTTTTTTCCCCCCTCTCTCTTCACAGACAAAGAATGGGATTTATTTGATGCAAGAAGGGAATGAGGAGCCATATAATATCCGACTACACTTGGCCAAGGATATTCTGACCATTCAAGAACAAGATGTCATCTGCGTGTCAGGAGAGCCCTTTTATTCCAGCGTAAGTGTATAATGTGGAAGTGCATTATGTCATTTTTTGGTTGGGTGTCCATCACTTGCTTGCTGTTTCTATGGAGATGTCATTGCTCTGCCTTGAATGTTCCACAGTATGATATTAAACAGCTCTACCTTACATTTAGGTTACATTACAGGTGGTTTTACAGCTTTACTGTGAGCTGGGTCGCCTCTCCACAGATCTGACGTGTAACTTGGTCTAGTTTTCTCCATGAAGGTTGAAAGGTTTAATGTCATACTGTGAAACATTCCAGGCAAAGTAATAACAACTCCACATGAAAAGTTACACAAAGCACTGTTAAAGTTGCAGTACTTAATTTTTGTGATCAGAAAAAAATAAAACTACTTCATAGAACTTTTTCACAACGGCTGGAAGTGCCACGATGTAGGGTAAACGTCACTTACGTTAATGCTTTTCTATGGCAAAATATCTGTGGAAATGTTTTGCATATTTTCCATCGGCTTCATACAATCTGCCCCATCACCAAATCTTCATCCAACAAGATCCACAAAGAACATATTCTGTCCATGAAGAATTTATCCACAACTATCAAGGTAAAAAACACGAAAACTTAAAGGCGAACAAAACTAACATTATGGTCATGAATAAAACATAAGTAACTTGTTAACTCAGACTGATTCAACAATTAAGATGAAAAATTGATTTCATGATGTAGATATTAGCATAGACAGAGAGATTTGTGGAGTTTAAATGTGAGACATGTAATCTGTGAACACTTGTAGCATTCGAACTGCATAAATCTGTCTGTGTCTGTGCTAATATCTATATCATGAAATACATTTTTAATTTTAACTCTAGAATCAGTCTTACTTACTGTATGTTTTATAAATGACCATAATGTTAGTTTTGCTCAGGAGTAGTTCACTTATGCGTTGTCATTGTTCATCTTTTCATCACCTTGATAGTTCATGGACAGAATATGTTCTTTGTGGACCTTGCTGGTTGAAGTTTTGGTGATGAGGCAGATTTATGAAACTGGTGGAAAATACTCGAGACATTTCCGCAGATATTTTGCCATAGAAAAGCATTAACGTAAGTGACGTTCTCGACACTTCCGGCTGTTGTGAAAGGTTTGCAGTGGTTCAAAGTTATTCAACGTAAAGCTAACAATAAATAGCATGCTTACGTGCAGTTCCTGATTATGAGACAATAAAATGCTTTCTAATTAGATGCAAACAGCAGACTTATTCTGACTTTCTTATACAATATAGTAGGAATGTAACAGTAACCGAAATATCATATCGTATCATCAAAGTTCTCGCAATAATATCTTGGACCATCACAATATATCGAATTACAAGTTTCTTTGCTTAAAGTAAGAGTTATGGTGCAGCAATAGCTAAAAAAACATAGACCATGATCCTTTGGTCCATTTCAGTCCAGACTACAAGAAGAAGTTCTAAGCACTTTTAAGTCTTAGTTCTTTGGATTAAGTCTTGTCAAGGCATTTTAAGAGGAAAAAGTAGCATATTAACATATATTAACATATTGCCTCCACAAAATATCACTATAAATATTGTACCGTGAGATGTATATCATGAAACTATCGTACTGAGAGATTTGGATATTTTTACATCATGAGCCTCCCCACCATATCATAAGCTTTCCCACGATATCACAATAAATATCGTACCGTGAGGTTCATACTAGGGATGTCCCGATCACATTTTTTTGCCCCTGAGTCCGAGTCATTTGATTTTGAGTATCTACCGATACCGAGTCCCAATCCGATACTTCTATAAAACATAATGAAATGAACTAAGAGCAAAGAATAAGATCCAGGACGTGTGGGGGGATCAGACTGTATTGATTTCAATGTGTCGTATTGGGCTGAATTTAGTGTGAAAAATTAAATGTCCAAAACTTAAATTTTATTAACTTTTCTGAAAATCTTTACCACAGTCTGGTCTTGGAATGTGTAACTTAGTTTACTTAATGAACTGGACAAAACAAGAACCAGACCAGAATCAGATCAGACCTGAGACTAGACTTTGCACAATCTAGAGTTTGTATATTTGATATTATATGTTTGCATGTGATTATATTTGAAACGTTTAGGCTCGTCTATGAAATCCAAATAATAGAAAATCTTACCAAACAAAAATGAGACGACAGAAGCCCCACAGCCTCTCTCCACCAGCCGCCCCCACATCCACAAACCCACCGCGGAGTGCGCACGAGTCCGCAGCCACGTGATCGGCGCTGATTTCTGATCACGTGATCGGACCGGGACAACCTTAGTTCATATCGTGAGACTTGGATATCGTTACACCCCTACAGTATAATAATAATATCTGAACTGGGGCGAGACAAATTTTGCTCAAATACAAGTCAAGAGAATCTGGCTTTTTATGGGTATACTTTAATTTCCTGGTGGAGAACGGGATTTATTTGGCACAAGAAGGGAACGAGGAGCCATATAATATCCGACTACATTTGGCCAAGGATATTCTGCCCATTCAAGAACAAGATGTCATCCGCGTGTCAGGAGAGCCCTTTTATTCCACCGTAAGTAACTTGTCCGAAGTTCATAACGGCGCCCGCCCGCACACAACGCCGGCGCCGCGACCGAGGAGCGCACTGCATCAGCCGCTCGTAAATCAAACGCGCCGGCTTAATGGCGTTCGACCTGCTTAATCAGGTTGTATAAAGAGACTAATCCTGAGGTCGCAACTTCTCTCCGCGTTATTACTGTTAGCGCTAATACATCTTAGCTAATGCCGGCGAGCGCGACCTTTGGCGAAATGGCATTATTCATGGTTTTACCGGCGAAAATCTTAACAGGGGAAAGGGTAGAAAAAAGTAGGTCCTTCGTAGCGGAGAAGGTAATTAGCCAAAAGGACGGTGACACTGTTATGCTAATGTAACCTTAGCGTCGTCATGGTGTGGAATTTTAAGTGTGACTAAAGTAAAGAGGGGAAGGTCTAATTGAGACGCTATTGACTATGTTATGGAGTGGAGTGGGTATGTAATCGGAGAAAGTGCAAGAGTTAATCAACATGTATAGATGCACGTATAGATCAAGAGTTCATGAACGTGTCTCGAGCTCGTGTGGTGTAAACAAACTCGAAAGACTTTATAAAGCGCCGTTATAAAGCTACAGAATCAGACTAAACTCATTTTTTAATCGTCCAGCCGGTTGTAAACGTCCAAGGTAAATCCATAATCAAGCACAGAGCAAGAAATTAATTAAAACTGACCTCAAGTAAAGACTTCTATACTCGCTACCGTATATATAATTATTGTAGCGTATGGAGCTCAGCAGTGGCCTCCAAGTCCACGCTTCAGGAACTTAATTTTTCATTCATTTTTCCCATACTTTCTGGTAAAATAATATTAAAAGTTCAAAAGCTCTCTCAGGGTTAATCAGCTACGTGGTAATCATAAAGGAGTGGACTCTAAAGGAGTGGGAAGTAGCGTTCGGCTCCAGTCAAATGAAGCTCACAGAAGCTGGAAGTATTAAGTGAGCTGAGTTGCGTTTTAGGAATTGATTTACTGATAAAATAGTGAAATCAAAACACCAGGATCATGTAGAGCGGGTTAATACGAATATTTTAAAACCAAAACAGCAGGAGTTAAAGAAAGAGGGGCGATGTTTTTTCAGTACAAAATTAATTGAAACCAGTCAGTGGAACCAGAAGAACACCCTTGCTCACTTCCTATTCATTTAATTTTATTTTAATGTTTTAATTGTTTTTTTTATTTTGTTTTATTTTATTAATTTATTATTATTATTATTTTTATTTATTCATTTAATTTGCACATATAACATGACAATAAAAAAACACACTGGATAAAAAAAGTAGGTGCCGAAAGAGGCCAAAAAACAAAACAAAAAAAGGCTTATATTAAAGCCTCTACCTTATGAACACATTAAAAATTGAACATTATCGTTGAGCATTAAAAAAGTAAAGAAAAGTACATTTAAACACCATGGATTATATTCATTTGATTCAAACATGGATTAAAATACAATGAAACACAATTCACAATTGATCAGTTATGAAATATTATCATGAAATATGAAATATTTCCTCAAACTCTTTTTAAACAACGCCTCTGATCTGCCGTCACTAACCAGATGAGAAAACTGGCTCCACAATTTACAGCCTCTGTATCGTAGCAAAACTGAGCTCTTGATGTGACACATTTTGGAACATGAAAATTACGATTTTGACGAGTTTTGTATTTATGAATTTCTGCACAAAGTAAAATGTGAAATGTTTGGGGATCGTCAGTGAACTATAAAGAGCTTTATACATAAAAATACAAATCTGATAAATATTAATCTCATACATATTAAGAATGTTAAGTTTGATGAATAAATGAGCAGACGATGTTAGTGACATGGAATGAATTGCAATTCGAACAAAACATCTTTTACAACACCAACAGCAGGTTAACTATGTCCATTGACATACATGGTGGTGATTAATGACCTCAAGACCTATAATTTTACTTAATATCTGTTTGTGAAACTTTATAAACAGCAAGTTATTATAGCATTTTGCAGAATCTTGTATTTTAATATTTTAATAGGGCTTTTTGGACTTCAAACAACTGTGATATAAACTTTACTATTTGAATGAATCAAAAGAGCAACATTTCTATGGAAACAAGAGGCCCTCCTCAGACTAAATAAGAGTCAGGTTCATGGAGACAAAACCTGCTGACATTAAGGATGCATTTCTCAGTTTTTAGTGCAATAAAACAACAAAACTTGCTTTATTTTAGTCTGTTTTTTACGGTGGACTAAGGGGGACAAAAGCTCTGCAACGGCCCAATGCATCTCAGTTAGAGAAAACAGCTTCAAGTACAGAAACGATGCAAATTCACAAATTCAAACACAAGTTCAAATGAGGTACAAACAAAGAACGAGGTGCAAAAAAAATAAAAAAATTAAAAAAAACACGCCAAAAGACAAATTTATCATCTTCAACTGCACTGTAAATAGAGAAACAATG